CCACACCCGACTCACCGTAGTACACAACTTTGCCCGACTAGTGACTAAACCTATAGTCAGCATTTTGCGTCTATTCCCCCTCGCCATAACTGTATAACGAATACTAATCTAGCACCACCAGTGTGATAATGTACGTATCGTTACAGTATCAAAGAAAACCTGATGTAAGTCGTTTTAAAATTATTTGGAGTTAGAGCTTACTTATTGAAACCTAAACATTTTAGAAATTAGTTTGATAGTCAGCAGTTAATTCTACTTATTTTAATTGTGTATATAGATATCATTTATAGAATCTTATCAAAAAGACTGTTATTCACGGCAGAGATATTGTGTTTGATGAACAGTCAGAAAATAATCAAAATTTTAAAACAATTCAATCAAGAGAAATACAAGAAAAAAAAGAAAGAAGAAATATTGGATTTTAGAGTTAACGGAAAAAAATGTCTCAGAACAGGAGCCAACCAGTGTTGAAGAAAAGGAAAATAGTTCAGCTAGATCAAAGCTAATTACAAAAGTACCTGAGTGTTTAAAAGATTACGATACTTCTTTTCTTACTCTAGCTCTGTCGATTGAGATAATTGTCGATGACAAATTATGAAATTGTTAAACTCAAACTTCCTCTGTCTAAATAATTTAGAATTTTGGTGAAGTCAAATATTTTTAGGAAAGACAATTAGTAAGGATACATCAAAAGGAATATTACAGATTGATCAAAAATTGTAAATTCAAAATCTGCGTAACCGTTTTGTCTTGGAAAGCTGTAATTCGGTTAAAATATCAGTGGAAACCAAATAAGTGTTAAGCAAAAATATTAATGAAAAAAATAAAAGCCATCTATTTTAAGAAATATTGGATGCTTATTGCTTAATCTATTTATCTCAAACAAAAACCAAATATTTGTTTTGTAATTAACTACATGAGTAGATTTCAGGCTAATGTCACACAAAGTCATTAGTTATATCTCAAAAGAATTTTGAGTTATTTATAAGGTACTAAAAATATTAATCTAACCTATTCTCAAGGAGTAAATATTTCCTACATTGGTGACCTACACAATTACCCCTACCTCCTCCAATAATTACCATTCTTACATAATATTCAAAAACTTGATTATCAATTTTAGCCATTAGAGAATAAAGATACTAATAATTTGTAAAACAATATCACCACATGCGATTATAATACCTTCTTAATAAATAATAAAGATATTTATTATAAAACAATGAGCAATGCATAATATTTACCAAAATTCAACTAATTAAATATAGGTATATCATAATAATATTTAATGGATCTAACAACTGAGATTTTAATCTCTAATTAAAAAACACCATACATATTAGGAAATACGATGTTATTTTAAGAATGGTAATAATAAAGTAATGACATGTTAAAATAATATTTAAATTTCCCGCGGTAAATTCATCAAATTTGATTAATTCCACCTTATCGCTACCATTTTTATTCTATACTATCAGCAATCAATTTTTGACAACGAATTTGTTCTACTATATATTGTAAACAAACATTAACTGTCATACAAATTACTACCGAATCAAGGATGCACATCAACCAATATTTTTTTTAATGTACATTAATTCCTTTGTTTTTGTATAGTGCGTGTCGTAAACCTGTTTCAGGTCCGTCTAATAGCCAAATGAAACTTCTTGTGGGCCATTTGTACCTATATAGTTTTATCGTATGGTCACCGGGAACGCTATTGATAAAAAAAATTACATACTGTCATGATTATAATACGCTAGATTGTCATTAATATTTTTCGTTGGTAACAGTGTCAAACATTGTTTTATTTTGCCGCTAAAAACGCATTGTGTTATTTTATAAAATTTTCTGTAGGCTATTCTGTTTCTGTTCTATAATGATCTGAATGTTCTGTTGTTTTTCAAGTTGCAAACACATATCAATTTGTTTATAATGAAGGTATTGATTATTAAATATTCAATATTATTTAAATAACGATGAATTATTAACATCAGTTAGTAGAATCAAGAAAATTAAATAAAACAAATATCGGATAGACTATCGATTTTATATTCGATACCTTTCGGAAAAAAGTGTTACCTATCATGCATATTAGTAATTTGTTAAATTTGTCATTGTAACTTATATAAGATAATTTTATCAATAATTCCATTAATTCGCAAGTAGGCGACTGATACATAGTATTATGGTAGGAATTTAGATAACATATAGGTGCGTGGTTCGATACACGACATCGTCCAGATTTGTTTCGATTTTTTTTTATCACTTTTTTGGAACCATAGATATGCTATATAAGCCATGTTGGTTTTGCTCTTCTTACAGTCACTGGGAGCGCTGTTCACAAACTTAACACAGGAGTCGTCAATCTATTATATTATACTTATCTCTGGGATCGACTCTTTAAAGTAATAACCACCTGCTTTATTTCCAAATTCCATTCGTCAACCTAACCTAATAAATTCAACAATCGGATATTAATTTTCGTATTTGTTATATTTTCATCCAAGCTGTCATAAATAAACCAGTGTTTTCGTATTTTGCACACTTATGAAAGACTCATCATTTTTGTTATAAATTTACCGAATAACTATCATATCTAACACTCCTTCAAAGTTCAATTATCAAGATCCATCAAATTGGGTAATTTATTATTAGCCACCTTTAATTATTGAATTTACTCTAATCCATTATGCATCATTTTGTTTTAAGATGTTATCAAATTCACACCATCTTCGTCTAGAGTAATCAACTGTCAAGGACAAACTGCAATCAATATGGGTAATATACTAATAATTTAATATATTTAATGTACACAATAATGTATTTTAGTGGCCAAGATTAATTTTAATATAGTAGACTCATTACTTTTTTATAGTATTAGTAATATCTTAGGTACTTATTGGAAATAGCATAAGTACCTATTGGAAATAGCATAAGTGCCTAGACATATAACAATTTTTAACAGTCATGCTTAAACTTCTTTTACTTGTTCCAAATAAACATAGCCAAGGAGAGAAATCAAGAGCCCCAAGGACAAACTAATCCCTCCTAATATCAAATATTAATCTTACCACTAACACTAATCGCCCAGTGCTGGGTCTCGATCTTTGGGGGCCTAAATACAAGAGTTAATTTTGAATCCCCTTTTCATAAGTATACCTAAAAAATTATGAAACAACATATTTAAAATATTTTATTCTAAATGGTTAAATATTAAAAATATTAATGTACTATATTATACACACCTAACATTGAATAGATATTATTTATTTTAAAAAGTTCTTCCTTACTGTGGCATACGCATAATTATCTATAATTTATGAAATATAAATTTCTTTTGTTCTTGCTCTTACAGTATTTAGTATTAAAATGTTGCTAAGTTAATTTTAACCGAGATAATTTCTCGAATAATTTTTTATTGTTTTCTTTGTTTGTAAGGAGCATTCTGCTCCTGCTACAGTTAGAAAAATTGAATTAAATATAATATGTGCATTTCAAACATCAGGATAAATAGTTATAAATCATTTTCTATTATGTAAATGGCTAGGTCTTGAATAATTTTAAGTTGTTGGGTTTGAAGTATGATTTTTTAACTGAGTATTTGTCGTTTAACATCTGTGTTAATATCATTTTTATATTTTTAAATAAAACCATATGATAAAATTATAATATCTTTTTTTAGTGTAATAATAGTGTAGGATTTAAAAAATAAAATGTATCAACTACATTGTGAGTGCCTTTAAATTGAATAACAAGTTTTAATAAATCTATATTCATAACAGGAAAAGTATATTTACTTTGAAATTGCCTTCAGTAGTATTAAGTTTATGATCATTGTCAATTTCATCAAAATGTTTAACAACATATCTTTTACATTAATTAGGATATGTAACATAAGTTATCTAAATATTTTCCATTTTTCATATAATTCTTTTGTCGAGGTTAAAAAAAATAGTTATTTCTGGAATCTTGTATATTTGTTACTGCTATTTGTATCATATTTGAGGCAATTTCAAAACTCATACCTAATATTTTGTAATTTTTTTAGTTAGTTATTTAGTAGGTTCCTACATACATAAAATTAAAATAAATTCAAAGAATTCCAATTTATTTTTTAACCCAACAGCTAATGTTTTTTCAGATTTTTTTATTACTAGTAAGAATTATGTTTCAATTATAGCTTCCTTTGATTTTTAATACTCTAGTTGTTTGTTTATAACTTTACTTTTGGCTCATAAAACTCTAGTTTTTACTGCTTCGATATGGAGAATCAAACTCTCGTGTTTATATATTTTTGGGACAAATGATGCGAGTTATCGATTTCATCAATCCACTTAAGTTTAATCTGTTTAAATAATCTATCAACAAAAAGACAACATGTTTTACAATAAACATTGATTAAACTAGGTGAATATCAAATCCATGTTCATAGGATATTTGATTACCAGATTTTGATAATAAATAGTAATATTCAATTGAACATTTACTTTAATCATCATTGCGAAGAAATTCAATATTTAGAGGACATGATCCATATTATGTCATAATAGATTTTTTGATGTGATTTGTTAATGATATTCCAACAAAATGTGCTCAACTACAAGATAATCAAGTTGTAAATTCAGACTTGATAAATCAATAAATATTTATTTATTTATTTATAATATGTATATTATATTATAATATTTAACAAGTTGACTGCCGTAGTATTTTTACAGAGCTGTCCTCATACGTTATGAGTACCAGAACAGGTACTTACTATGTTTGTCATTGTATTTTTGGACATTATAACATGGGCCATGGTTTTTTTCATTATATTTCATAAAATTTTCTTATCGTTATTGTTTATTTATATCATTTTAATAATATTTAAAAGAAAAATGAACCGATTTGGAATGAGTACCATATATGCTACTCAATGCCCATTATATCATATTATTCAGTAATACGTTCATTTTCATTTGACTTATCGTTGCTTTGTGACTGTATTTATTACAATGAATGACGACGAAATTGTTGAAGCTCTTTGGTCATCTGATAAGTTTTCTGAATTTGATGATGGTGATGTAGATCCAGACTTTGCTTTGGTAAATATTGCTTAGTTTATAATATTTTTTTTAGTTGGTACAAATATTGAGTAGTAGACTACTAATTCTACTAAATACTAGTCTATTAAATGCATTAGCATTATTTACTACTGTGACTGGTCATAAAATGAGTGTAACAGAATTTAGAGAGAACATAGTTCAAGCTTTAATAACGAAAGCCAACATATCAATGATACTCAAACCCAATGAAGGAGAAATTCATAAACTTATTAATTCTAATCGTGGTAGATGTTCAAATTGTTATTTCGAAATGGTTCAACAAGGTGGAAGGAATCACGTGCAAAAAGTTACACGTAAAATACAAACATTGTGTCCAGGTTGTTCGAAACACTTCTGTTTAGATTGTTTTTTTAAAACACATTCAACAAAAAAAATAAATAATTTTAAGAATCATATTATTAGTTTTTAAGCTGTATGTAATATATTTATGTTTGATATATTGATATTTTTACTAAAAAAGGTTAATGAGTACTCGTATAATATTAATACGAGTTGTATAGTTTTTTTTTTAATAATTACATTTTTATTTTAAAAAAAAAAAACATTAAATTTGAGCGCTATTTGCACTATTCAGCTTGAAATTTTTTCCTTTCTATTCCAATAAACGAATTGAGCAACAGAAATGGTTCTCAATGATGTAATCACGAAAAATAGTGAGTACCAAAATTGACCCTCAAAGCCTGAGAGTTAAACGGTGTGAGTACCAGAATTGGTACTCAAAACTCGTAGAACAAATATGATTTAAATATGAAGGCCTATAATACAAATCATGAAAGTACCAATTATGGTACTCATGGCAGTTAACTTGTTAAATATTAGAATTTTACTTTAGTCAATAACATTATTATCATCAGTGCTAAGATTTTATAGCATTTGCTAGTTATTATAGGGTACAGAAAAAATGAGAGAGTGAAATTTACATTTGTTTTATGCGCCAAGGACTCCAAATATGAATTTGTATACTGCATTTTTGCATATTTGAAGTATTTTTAATTTTTCAATATTGAATGCTATTTTTTGCTAATAAACATTATATAATTATTTAATTTGTAAAAAATAGTAGAAAAAAATCTTATCAAATTTATATATTTAAAAAAAAAAATTTTCTTTTAAGTCATTTTTCATATTTTATGGAATACTATAACTTTTTTTTAAATTTTTAGTTCATATTATGTTTATTTTAAGATTTGTTAAGTCATATTAAAGTGTATATTTTAATTATTTGCAGTGCTATAAAATGTAAGCCCTGATCATCATTGTTCTTACTTTCTAAAAATTGATAAATTTAAATTACTTTTTGTACTTTGTATAATAGTAAATAAAACCTATTTATTTTTATGTGCACACTTGGCAAAACATATATAATACATATTATTAAAGACCGGATTTAATTTGATTTAAAACACACAAAAATTGCATATTAAAATTATATAATTACACCAAATAATACGTAAAAATTTCATAATAAATTTAATAAATTTAAAAAAAAATTTCGTTCAATACTAGGAAATATTTTTAACAAGGAATTAATAAACTAACAAATAGTTTCATAATTGGTGGATTCTAGTTCTTCAAATGCGACTAAATATGATTTCCTAGGCGTCCCATCTAATTTACCAATCAATACATTTGCAATAGCCAAACCTAAATGAAAATAGTATTTTTCATTATATGAGAAATTAAAAAAATTATTTATACAAATCTCTTGGATTGGTTGTCTCGTCAACAACTATATAAACGTAAATATTACTAATTATTTAGTCCATAACGCTTTTATAAATATTCGGTATGTAATTTTTCCTTTAAATTCTTTCGTCCAGAATTGATTTGCCAGTATGTTTTTCAAAAATAATTTTAACACATGATTGCCCAGCTTATTTAATGGAATATTTGCAGCAACAAACGCATTACATAAATCTTCAAAAATTACACTTTTACCATTCGAATTTTGAAAAGTAATCAAAAGCTATAATATACATCATTAAATACTATTATATAGCTACTATAGCTATAGCAGTAATATATTTACATGAATCTCAAATTACATAATATTTTTAAGTAACTAAATAATATTATATTAAACATGTTTTTATTTGTAAACATCAGGTTCTAAAACCTCGTCCTTACATAAACCCACCGTACCTTCCATATATCATTCTCAATCAGCTCCAACCACCACTTTCATCCTATGTTTATTTTCATTAATCATAATTCTAACTGCATTTTATTCCCCACTTCTCATGTCGTACCCAAACCATCTCAATCTATTTTCTTTTATTTCATCTGCTATCAACAAATTATAACAAAATTAATTCCTCCGCCCCACAGAAACAATACTGTTATAACTTATTACAACAATATTATTGTACTATGTAAATGATATTTATTTATTATATTATAATATATTATAACATAAAATAGAATTATACTTAATTACACTATTAACAATGTGTTCTGTTTTTACATTCATTATAGCAATACATGTATTTATTAAAATTCGCAATTCACAATTAACCTACAATACAAAAATACCTAAGGCTCACTTTTTAGTTATCTTTTAATACAGTGTTGCCCTATACAACATCCCTCATCTTTTAGCCCTTTAATTTAGAAAAAATTTACATTTTATCATATTATATTATCTAACAAAATCATTCAATATTAATTCTACAAGAATAATTTTAATTTTAATATCACAGCTTATATAACTACTAATTAAATAATAATAGTACACTTGTAAAAACAAAATATCTTACACAAAGAAACAACAAATAATAATTTATTATTTAGATCATACAAACACTTTAACTTAATTAACTTGGATCATAATCACCTAGTTTGATTGATTTTCTAAAAGCTTTTTCTACCCTTGTCCTTTTTTATATCTCTTCAACATCATCATTACCTTCATAGTACTTATTAAACTTTTGATTAGTTGTATGACGCAAATGATATAAAGTTTGTCTAACCACATTACCAGTCGGTAACTTTATCTTATACAATCTAGGACAGTCTTTTATCTTTTATATAATTTTACAAGGTTTCCATACATTACCTTCTTTTACTACTACATTCTCGCCTACGATATATATTCATCTTTACTTTTAGTTCTCCAATCATAATATCATTATGTAATTTGGGTTTTGAATTACTCACACTGATTGGGAACTTTATTCTTGTCAATTTATTCGCTACTACCTCACAAGGTGACAAACTATGGTATTATAGTGGTATGATTTAAGCAATATGTATACAATATCTCTTTTTTCAAAATTTGCATTCCTTAACAATTATTTAGCAGCAAGTACTGCTTTTTCTGCCCCCCATTTAACTGAGAATACATAGGACTAGATGTTAATAGTTTAATATTATAAATATCACAAACATTTTTCAATTCACTTCAATAAATGGTTGATTGTCAGAGTAAATAACTTTTGGATAACCATATATGCTGAAAATGCTTCTATAGCACAAAATAATTTCCTTGGCCACTTTCTTATTGAGTCTAATTAGTTTTAACCATTTAGAGTAATCAAATACTACAATATATTCCCATCTTCCATAAGTTAATATATCTGTACTTATAACTTCAAAGAGTAATTTAGACACTACATGTGGAATTAACGATTATTTTATATTAGAGCTCTTAAACTTATCATATACATTGCATTTCGATACAAATTGCTGTAGTTCATTATTTAGACTCACTCTTATCTCATCTATAATAGGTATTAAATGATACTCTTTAATAATAATTTTATTTAGTTCTAATGGATCCAGATATATAAGCAATATCTTATTAGGTTTTTTAATTATTAAAATATAACTGCATCATTTACTAGGACTGTCTAGTATTATCACATTATTTCTGGTCATTTCTTCCAATGATTTTTCTAATTAAATTTTGATAGACTCTGGAACTCTTCTTGGCAGCTTAATCCAGGCCTCACTATTACCTTTAGTTTTAATATAACATATTTCTAGGAAACTTCCAAAATCCTCAAAAATATATATATCAATTATTTGTTTTGCATCATTACTTTCTTTGCTATTTATTTCTATTTTACTGACCAAATTAAGTTTTACACATACATTTAATCCTATAATAGGAACACATCTAACTTTTAATTCATCATTTACAATTATGAACCTCAGTATAACATTTTGGTTAAAAATAATACAATTCATTTTTACAGTCGCGATTAGCTTTAGAACATATCCTCTATATGCTTGTATCTTTGTAATTAATTTTTTCAATAATTTCATTATATTTTACTCTATTAAAAAGACTTGGAAGCAAAATAGCAATATCCGAACCTGTCTAACTTAAATGCAATAAAACAGTTATTAATTCTTACATTTTTAAACCACCTTTTATTGTTATTATTATTATTATTGAACTGATGATCCTGTTTACTTATATTTAATACTACTACAAAATAAACATCAAATAAATTATGCTCAAAATCACTATTAACTATTATTATATTTAAATTCATTACCCTCTGCTGTTATTAGTTCTGCACCCAACCATGAAGTGATTTAGTTTTCCACAACTACTATATTTCTTTTCAAACACAGGATAGCTCCTTGGACCATGTTTATATTCATACTTTTTGCCCTCATATTGTTAGGTGACTTGTGACGTTGAATCACCTTGCCTGTCTTACTGTGTATTCTTCTCTTCTATCTTCTTTGGATTCTGTATCAGTTACTCTGATTTTTTTGTATTTTCATGAAAAATCTTGTGTGCATTTTTCTCCTCAATTGACTTTCCATTATCGATTAACAACTGTTGTTGATAATGTGCCAACTCAGCAGATTTACAGTGTTCAATAGTTTTGGTAAGAACTAAGTCTGGTACTTTTAAGAGCGTTTCTTGGAAACAAATGTCATTAATACCCAATACTATTCTAATAAGTAGTAGGTATTTATACCATAATATCTTCTTAAACACCAAATTCATATCATTCGGCTAAATTACAAATATACTAAAGAAATGTATCAAAAACTATGCTCTCTTCCTGGCATCCGTGGAAAAATTTAAACTGTTTGATTATAATGTTTGTTTTAGGTTAATAATAATTTTCTATTTCTTCAAAAATGTTTAAAGAACCTAGATTCGTTTCACTTGTAATATTAATTGATTCTAAAAACTCATGTTTTATTTTGAATAACACTTAACAGAATTTTTTAATTTCTCTGACTTTGCATCCAAATAATTGGCTAACAAATATATCTTAAACTTAGTTTTAAATAATTTTAAATTTTGTATTACCATTGCCGGTTCACTGATATCAAATGATAACGGAGTAGGAACCACTTTTTGTCCATTTGACTGCCTAATGTTATAACTTATATTGTTGTACTGGATAAACAAAATTGATTTATTATATTATAATATATTATGACATAAAATAGAATTATATTTAATTACATAATTAACAACATGGTTTGTTTTTACATTCATTATAGCAATGCATGTGTTTATTAAAATTCGCAATTCACAATTAACCTATAATACAAAAATACCTNTACAACATCCCCCTCTTTTAGCCCTTTAATTTAGAAAAAAATTACATTTTATCATATTATATTATCTAACAAAATCATTTAATATTAATTCTACATTCAAAACTACAATAATAATTTTAATACACTTGTAAAAACAAAATGTACGTTTATTTTTTGTAAAAGTATTTTCTTCTTTCGAATTTGTGCACTACTTTCAAACCCTCGTTTAAACATTATTTTTAATTTCAAATAAATAATATTAATTAAATTTGTTCTGTTTTATTTGTAGTTATTGGCATAGGTCAAGTTTGAAATTTCACAATATAGCATATTAAGCAATATAGGCACCTACTCTATAAACCATTTCTGGTAGTCCGATATATGATACCTACTCATTATTGTAGATAGTAAATTTTATTAGAAAGTTCGACCAAACTGTGTATAGAATAGTTAGACCTAGTTTCATTTTTTCGTAATTTAAGATTTTGAGACATTAGTACGATAATAACAATAGCAGCTAGTGTTAAAATAATTGTGTATTGTTTTTAAAAATAGTGACATCTGTTTTTACATTAAATATGTTGCAGAACCTGAAAACCGCAGCCAGCAAAGTACTAGCTGCACAGAAAAACGTAAAAAATCCGAAGAAAATATTAAAGCAACCACCTCAACTGCAGTTACACCTGATCCAATGCACACAAATAGATTCAAAATTCAAAAAGTAACCAGTGATCATGAAATCGAGGGAAATTTTTATGAAAATACGAATAAATTTGAGCATAATATGAATTCCACTATCAGTGATAATAAAAAATCTAATGATAACATAGATAACGAGGAAAATAACTCAGCACAAAGTGATAGTGATGAAGAAATTTTAAAATTTAAAGATACTGCATATTTAATAATGCCTACCGTGACAATTAATTACAATGATGTTTTGTATAATTTTATTATTCATGATGAAAGAGTAAAGAAATTCATGTTAAATGGTGAAATGATGGATCTTGACATTGGTAAAGCTTATGATCCAAAAGAAATTGATGAAATTGTTGATCACATAATTATTTTTGGTACACATTATTATTTAGTAAAATGGAAAAATTGGTTTAAAGGGTTTAATACGTGGGAATGTTTTGATAATCTGTCAAANATGAATGTAACAAGACTTGCAAGTGTACAGACAGCTGTTCCAATAGAGTTATCCAGTTAGGTAGTGCTGTACGCATTTCCATTTATAAAACAAAAACATGTGGTTGGGGAATTAAAGCCTCTCAAGATATTGCCAAAGGCAATTTCATTGCGATTTACTCTGGAGAAATAATCACGAGAAAAGAATCATACAAAAGATTATGTGAAAACACTTCATCGGCCGATTTTATGTGGAACTTAGACTTCGACGATCCAATTGATTACGAATACGTCATTGACGCTTCCAACTACTCAAATTTCACGCGTTTCATTAACCATTCGTGTGACGCCAATTTAAACGTGCATACTGTCTGGGTTGATTGTCTTAATAGAAATCTACACCAGTTAGCATTATTTACCAGTCGATATATTTCGGCTGGTGAACAATTGACTTTCGATTATTTTTCCAGACATGGTGGCACATTAGAAACAACTGACATTAGATGTCAATGTAATATAAAAAATTGCCGAGGCTACTATTTTTAATAGTAAAATTATTTATATTGCTTAAGTACAGGATTTCTTTCAATATTATCTTAATACCTATTCATTTTTTTTTAAATTATTTATTTATAATAAATAATACTATTCTTTAAATAACAATATTTTTTTAGAATAAAATCTTATTAAGAAACATTATTTTTAAAGAAATGGATAATTTTGAAATCTAACTTTTATTGTGTAGTTATTTTTTGAAAAATATTGGTGTTTAATCATAAACAATTAAACAATAATAATTAAAAGCTAAATAAAATAAGATTATTAAATGAGCGCTATGATATTCTTATTATAACCTAACTGAATAGCAAACAAGTGAATCTGAAAGTATTACTATCACTTGATAATAGTCACTTATCTTAATGTATTGTGTTTTTTTATAAATATATATTATGTTGTATGTATAAGTAAAGTTAAACAAATATTTAGGTTTTAATAAGGGATAAGGAACATTATTTTAACACAATGAAAGATAGAATAGTTGGAGATTTTTCATTAAAATTTACAGTACCTAATCCCAAAGATGAGATAATACAAATCAATCAAGAATGTAATTTTATTACTGGTCAAAATGGATATATAACACCATATAAATTACATCTTGGATTATACTCATTGAAAGAACTTGACAAAAAGTATTATATTTATCCTGAACATGGTTTATATAATACATTTACAACAGTAATGCTTGAAAAAGGATTATTAAAAATATCATCCCCCGTTAATATATTTCTTGATTCGTATTTATCTGATTGTTCAGGTTTTGAATATAACGATATTGAATCACTTAAAGGTAAAAAATATTCAAAAATATTAGGTTATAAAAGGCCTTCTTAAAAAGATACTGAGAAAGGAGAAAGATTTTTTACTTTAACTACTGTAAGAACTCCAAACTTGATGAAGAAAATGAAGAAAAATATTTAAGTAACATAGAAGGAAATATATATTGATAATGGTTTAATAACGAAAATTCCTAGATTGAAGTATACTATTGATCAAATAGATTTTATTTTAAAAATGAATTTGAAAGTTTCCGATAATAATTTAATTGAAATTAAAAATGATGAAAATAATTTTATGTTTGATAATAACCTTTGTGATAATCTAGGGATTAAGCTTGTTTGTTTTTCAAAAGTTGGAATTTATCAAACAAGTAAAACCCCCAACATTCCTTTAGAATTACATTGAAATATATTAGAGAAATCCAATCTATATCCAACCATAAAGAAAATGAGCATATTCATTGTGATGAGGATCTTTTATTTATTTTTAATAATCCACAAGACAATTTATTGTTAAAACCAATAAATTATCATACATACCTATAAGTGTAAAAGAAATTCAAAATATTAAAATAGATATTTTTGATTTAAAAGGGAATATATTTAATACATTTTCAGAAGTTATTGTTTATCTTAGTCCATAAACAGATAATGAATTCACATTCAGATTTTCAATATATTTCTATATTGAAAATAATAATAACTTTTAATATAATAAATATGTTAAAAGAGAATAAATACAAAGTAGATTTGTAGGGTTATATTTTGTTCCATTTTTATTCTCTCAAATTGATGTAACAAAAAATGTTCATCAATAGATCAAATTGAAAATATTGGTAGAGCAAGTATAATGAGAAATAATAAAATGAGAAATTTTCACTTGCTTATGATATGTATATATCATATGAGAAAACTTTCCATAAAACACATCAAGAACTTTCTCTGATGTATTTTACACCTAATGATTTTAAAAATGACCAATGTATGTAGGTATGGTAAAACCTTACTAGACAACCTGATAATGTTAATGGAAATAAAAATAATATTATTTTGAACGTAGAATTTAATGAAGATGTACCAAATGGTACAATTTTCTATATTTGTTTTCTTTCAAGTTCTGAATTTACATATGATACTGTCCAAAATACAATTAGAAAAAATATTTTTAATAGAAAAATTATATTAAGAAAGAAAAATGAATTTATTATGTTAATAAATACGAACAAGGAATTTTTAGAACCAATACACTGCCATAAATATAAAAAGAAAACTAATAATTTTAAACTAATCAAGGTTCAAACAACAAATGGGCTTTGAATAAATTCAATACAATATTTAAAATGTAAAACAAACCAAAGTAAATTTATTAAAGCTCCCGTAAAGAAAAAATAGAAAAACGACAGAACAAGGTAAACTAAGTATTGCAAAAGAACTTCATAAACCAGTAAGATCTCGATTTCTAAAAAGGAAAATAAAAACATATGGTATTGATAATTTGTGGGCTGCAGATTTAGTTATAATGAGAANACACAATGTTTAAAATGTAAAACAAACAAAAGTAAATTTATTAAAACTCCTTTAAAAAAAGAAACAATTTCAAAAATAAAATTTGAAAAAATAACAGAACACGATAAACTAAGTATTGCAAAAGAACTTCATAAACTAGTAAGATCTCGATTTCCAAAAAGGAAAATAAAAACATATGGTATTAATAATTTGTGGGCTGCAGATTTAGTTATAATGAGAAATTATGGCTATGAAAATTCAGGTTATTTATATATGTTGAATGTTATATATACTTTTTCAAAATTTGCTTGGTCTGAATCCCTTAAAAAAAAAAAATGGAAAAAATGTTACTTAAGGTTTTGAAGAAATAATAAAAAGACTATACATAATATATCAAAAAAGAATTTATTTATAACAACTATAATATAATAACCAATATTGACTAATATACATATAATATATAAATTATATAATTATATAGGCACATAAAATAGGTTATTGATTTTATTTTAATGAAGAACGTTGAATTGTACGACAATCACAGTTATAATCACTTTTTTAAATTTAGCCAACTTACTGCCTTAACTACATTAATTTTCAATCGGGTAAAAATTATGATATGGTTATAAATTTCGAGTACTACGATTAAAAAAAATAATATTAATAATATGTATTTAACAGAATGTATAGTTTATAGTTTATACATCAGTTAACAGTTATTTGCTGGCGATACAAATCGTATGCGAGTGTGAAATTTTATCAACAGTTTTGTACGTATTTATACTTTATAGTGTCGTAATTTTATATAGTTCATTTTTTTACAGTGACTATCACTATGCCGCCTACAATACTCTATAATTTTAACGAAATGTTGCATGATTTTCCATTTATTAAAAATCTTAAATCTACTGATGATTTCAATGTACAGTGTACAACTTGCCATAGAACATTTCCAGTAAGCCGGATCGGACATCAACGATTACCTCAAAACGCAAAAACATAAGTTAGCTACAAGATCATCAATTCAGTTCGGTAAAGTTTCCAACTATTTTTCTACTTTGGTTCCTACTAAAAATGATTTTTTGTTAGCCACTCGTGAAGGTACTTTGATATATCATACAGTAATTCACAATCACAGTTTTCATTCTATGTCTTTTACATCGGAATTGATTCGTCAATGTTTAAATAACAAAAAATTTACGTGTGCAAAAACAAAAACCAAGGAAATAGTTGTCAACGTTATTTGCCCGTTAAGGTGACCACACAATACAGTTTTATTTGTCCGTGTACGGTGTACGGTATAGTTCGAACAACGTTCACCCATAGTGTGTGAGCAATAAAACGGATGAAAAACACCGTACACGGAAATGGAATGAAATAAAATGAGTTTGATTTTCTATCCATGTTCGGTGTTCGAAATGAAGAAAACCGAAGGTGTGTGTCCACATGCGGTGTTCGAACTAAAACCGTACAGTTTTAAAAACTGAAACAAAACAAAATCTCATTTTAATTTAAATTTTAAATTTAATTAAATGAAACTAAATGTATATATATATATATATAAATATAACTAAATAAATAAATGTAAACAACTATAATGGAATTTAGCCTAGAGTATTATTGATTGGAATATTTTCATATTGCCATATTGTCGACATATCTAAAATATACTTTGATATATGGATTATAAATGTCGTTGTTGATAATATTATTGGTTTCATAATAAAAATAGAATAATTAGACGGCGTAATATGCAGAACTGTGTACCATATGTTTTAACCTAACACCTTTAACTAGGTAACTAGAATGTTGCGATCTTTAGAAAAACTGAGAAAAAATAGTGTGTGGTCGATTTCGTTGTTCGGTGTTCGTTATTAAAAACGATCCGTTTTGTTCGAACACTGTAAAAAGGATACAAAATGGATAGTGTGTGTCGTTCATCGATGTACGAACTATAAATGTTCGAAATACATCGTACACCGTACACGGACAAATAAAACCGTAGCGTGTGGCCACCTTCATAACTAGTACCTGTTGTTAAATAATAAATCTGTAAAATCTACTTAGGTCAGTATATTTATCTTAACGGCTGGAAATTGTATAATTTTCATTAATTTAAATTTTAAGTGTTAAAAATATAAATACATAAATACATAGTTATATACTTAGTAGATAATTACCTGTTTTTTTTTATGAATTTTGGTGTCTCGGATCTATTAAAATTAAATTTGGCCATCCTACTTAAGTACCTATGACTTTTAAATGTTTTTGAAAATACAAAACTCCGTCTTAGTCGTAATCACCAATAACGTAAATGTTGGAAAATGTGGGTGTAAATGGTAAAATGGTCGAAAGTAACAATAAACAAAATTTCACTTATACCAATTTTTGTTGCTAATGACCCATATATTTACAACATTGAGTCATTGAACATTTGTTGCTTATCATAAACATTTAAACATCGATAAAATAAATATTGTATGAGACAAAATGTTACATACGCAAAAATAATAAAAAGCGAATGTCGAGAAAATAGTCGCTTACGCTAAATAGCTTAAATATTTTCCTGTCCATACACCAAAAATGTAATAAAATATTATTTTTGGTTTAGTAATAATTAATTATATTAGTTAATAATTATGATGTTTTGTTGCAAAATCCACCAACGAAAAAAGCAAAAAAAACATTACATTTCAATCAATTTACGAAACTTCCAGTGGCTTCTGGCGGACAACCACCTATAACGGGACAATTGTTGTGTAAATATTATATAGTTACGGCGCAAGAGCGCGCCAGCTATATAGGTGTGTGCACTGTGCACCAGTGGTAGTTTTGATAAAAGACCAAAGGAGGGGCGATTTTAAATTTGTTGGGCCTCGTACTTTATTGATATATAAATATCAAATAAAGGATAAAATTTGTTTATGGTCCTATCATAAATTACACACAACTTTCATTTTAGATTCTGAGTAGAGCAAAGAAGCTTATGGTTCTATAACTATTTTATCTGTGGACAACTTTTCTATCAGAGATCTTGCTCCGATGTATATGATGTAGCAACTTTGCCGAAAGGAAATTTTGTTGGGGATGTACATTCTATCTACTTTATAAAGTCATTCATCTACTTTAGGGAAGTTATTTTTCGATTTTTTTCAGAGTTTTCTCAACAAATATGAAAAACCGGAAAAACTTAGAAAAAACGGAAAAATCGGTAGGTAAAATATTAAATAAATACTATTAAAGAAAATATACAATGCCTATTTAATTATTTTACCATAATATGACATATGTATATATATTGTTGACAAAGCGTCACTATCAATTGAATTCCACTCAGAATCGTCTTTTTGTTAGCAATGGTTATCATTGCTTACGTACGGAGCATACCTAATAGTTGATAAAAAAAAGACCCTGGGGGGAGGGGCGATCGTCCTCATTGCTCAACCCCTAAAAACCACAAATACTGTGCACGCAGTAGCGGATTCAAAGTTAAATTTTGGAGGGA